AAATACAGTAGAGCGTCGATTATCCGAATCAAATGGAAACTGGGGTTGTTCCGAAGATCGACGTTTCGGATAACCGATTATGTACGAAAAAATATATTAATTTATCCTATCTTGACATTTTTCTCCGTTGCGTGTCGCTTCGCGTTGAATTTTCGTCGATGTTAAGCCTAACGAAGACTATTGTATCGTTAAAAATTATTTTTTTATTTTGTACAAACAAAATAAATATATTCAAAAATATAAAAACAATAAAAAATTACAGTATACTTCAGAAGTTAATTTAGTATCAAAAACGTAAAATATTTGAGTAGCCCAAGATATAGCCAAAGATTACAGCGCCACAGCACTGGCGAAAATTTAAACTTGTCGACTGGAATTTCTTCGGATAACCGACGTTTCGGATAACCGACCTTCGGATAAACGACGCTCTACTGTATAGTCTTTAAATTGTAGATGTATGGAATCTTGGTATTTTGAAACATTTATAATGAAATCAGTTATTGCTCGCGTATGACCTCAGCATGTTAATGTCCGGATTCCAATGAAATTTATCAGGGACAAAGTTAGGAAACGAGCGTCACTTCTCACCCCTTAGCAATGCTAGCTAAACAAGCGGTTTTCTTTCGTTTCAATTCTAAATTCGCTCAATAAAAAAATCGGATACGAAAAACTAAGAAGCATCGATCGATCCATCCGTCCTAGAAAATTAAATGAAACAGTTTTCAAGCAGAAAACGATGGAGGAGAAAGAGAAAAGCGGAAGGTAGACACATATAGAAGTTGCGAAGTGGATGACGTCGGCCGGGAGCGGTGGCGCGTTCCTGTAATCCAGTCGCGTGGAGGCCGGAACTAGAGGACGGCTGGAGGNAGTAATTCACTTCTAATTTAACAAATTATTTACATTTATGTACTGTAATAATTTCAAATTTAGTGTATCATAATTGTATGACGCATTTATTTTGTTAGAAATTTTTATATGAAGATAAACAGAATTTAAAAAGTATAAAGTTAATTTACAAACTGTTTATTGTCAATATCTTATTTGATTATTATTATTATCAAATGTAATTATTTCAATTTTCAAATTGCACTATATTTGTAAAATCTTTACAATATGGAAACATTAAGTTATAATGCTTGGTAGTTTTGCAAAGTACATGCATTAACATGTCTAATTCTGCTTAATTAAAAGTACTGTATGGAAAAATTATTCCAAATTCTTCTATGAAGAGTTGCCTCTAGAGTTTGGGGGGCAAGGGGTAAAGTCAGTACAGTAGACCTCCCTATAAAACGGGTTCATATAATACGGATTCGTATATCACGGCGAAAAAATTGCTATCATATTCGTATAAACACGCTAAAAGAGACTCGTATAATACGGTAAAACGTCATCGCCCACTCGTGTCGCGACAGGATCGGTCGAATCTACACCAATAGCGGATATTGCACAAACCGTTGAGTTTAAACGAGCAGCGAACCTACTAAAAACCATTTATTATTTAACGGCCATAAAAATTATATTTATATTAATGATGTCTTTAAAGTTCAGCAAATTTTTCGCAGAAAAATAACTTATCAGGAAACACGCGCCCGCCGTTCGATCCGCCGCTCCGCGACGAAAACAAGCTTAATTAATCAATGGCGTCGTCGAACGGTGCACACTCGGTAAGTAATCCTACAATTTTTTGTTTATAACATAGTTTATATGGATCATTTCCAAAAAATTATACGTGTTTTGGAAATGTTGAGTCAAATTAGTCTAGAATTGAAAGGTTTTCTTCCATAAAATTAATCGAACAGCCGTAGTCCGTAAACTGCATAAGTGCCGGGCTGTGATTGGCTCATGTATTTAAGTGATCGTAAAACGCGAATTCATATAAAACGGAACGTATCTATAGGGGGTCTACTGTATTATTGAAAACAGATAATCTTACTTCTCTACTTCAAACGCAACTTATGATTGCAGAAATTCATTCTAATAAACTTATAAAGTAACTTTAGGTATTAACGGCATTAAAAGAAAATTATTATTTTATAAAATTTACTTCTCTTTCTTTTCGTTCTTCAAAACTCTTAATTNCTGTAATCCAGTCGCGTGGAGGCCGGAACTAGAGGACGGCTGGAGGAGGGGAGAAGACTTTCACGCGGTGCTATGTGGATCGGATGTCCGGCTAAGAGCGACGTGGATATGGTGGCCTCGGGGGAGTCCGGGGTGACCAGGTCGCCTGAGGAGGAGCGAATCGGCCCAGGGCGGAAACGCAGCAGGCAAAAGCTCCCGCGTCGTGCAGTAGTGGGACGGCATCTGTGAATAGGCGGTGTGTCGGTACCCTTCCTATGCAGTTGGACCTAGTTCTGCTTTTTTTTTTTTTTTCTATTTTAGTTAAGTTTTCATTTATATGTATTGATATACACTGTGTATACAGTACTTTATAGCTTTTCTCTGTCTCGATAGATGGCGCGATCGATGATTCATTCTTTAAAATCATCAGTTTCATTGACACTTTTTGTCGCCTACGCCAATAATATCAGTGATCTGGAGCTTTTTTGGAGCTTTTTTGCTCGAGCTTCAGGTTAAGGCCTTCTTCGTTTTCGTTAATTCTATCTACAAAGTTTGCAATAAATCTATCGTTTTTCCATAATATAAATACATCATCTAGAAGTAGGAACATGAAGAAGTAGGAACTGTGTTAGATTACGAAAGTTTGTACCCGTCCATTAAGATTGAATCCTGTGTAGAAGCGCTATTGGAGTTCTTGTTTAGAGAAAACCCAACGTTAACACAACATAGAAATGAGGTTATAGAGTTGGCTAACCTAGTATGTTGCAAATCCTTCTTCGCTTTCGAAGGCCAAGTATATAAGCAAAATAGGGGAGTTCCAATGGAAAGCCCAATTTCAGGGCTCCTTTGCGAGCTTGTTGTTAGAAAACTAGAAGAAAAAGTTCTGCGTAGCTTCGAAAGGGATATAATTTATTACAAGAGATATGTAGATGATGTATTTATATTATGGAAAAACAATAGATTTATTGCTAACTTTGTAGATAGAATTAACGAAAACGAAGAAGGCCTTAGCCTGAAGCTCGAGCAAAAAAGCTCCAAAATGGTGCATTTCTTAGACATTAATATCATTTGTAAAAAAGGGCGTATATCCACTAACGTATACGTTAAACCAACGCATAGCCCACTATACATCCCTGCAAGCTCTAATGATCCTTATAGGTATAAGTTAGCAGCATTTCGAGCATTGATTAGAAGGGCTTATATATACTGTGAAAACGTTATAGACCGCGATACAGAGATAGAAAGAATTATACAGATAGCGAGAACATTAGGTTATAAGAGGAATGTTATAGAAGGAATTATTAGAAAATTTGAAGCAAGTAACAATAAGGTCACTAGACAAGGTCCATCTAAGTACACGAAATTTACATACAACAAGTATTTAGGAGGGATTATGAAAGAAATCGCAAATATTAAAGATACAAAGGTGATATTAAAAAGAGCTCCGAATTTGTAGAAAATACTCAGAAACGATAAAGGGATTGTTAAAAAACAAGATAAGGCGGGTGTGTATAAGATTCCCTACGAGAACCAGCTAATAGGTATAAAAAAAGATTATGTAGGGGTTACTACTAGGAACCTAGGTGTAAGGATCAAAGAACACAGGTATGATGTTAGAAAAGGTTCTAATACAACAATGTTGGCTCAGATTGCGCAAGCAGAAGGTTCCTCGGTTCGATGGAATGAAGCGGAAATCATAAAACAGATACATTCTCCAAGTTTGGCAAGAACGGCTGAAAAGAGAGAAATTTACAGAAGTAAGCTTAAAGAAAAATGCATTAACGCAAGGGACGCGGAAGGTCTTCCATCGGCTTGGAAATATGCCGTTAAAAACTTACAAGAGGCGCACGAACTCTAGAATTTTTAAAGAAAATTTTGTCTAGATAGGATAGACAGTATTATTATTTATTACGACTATTATGTTATTTTTTTACATTTTTTGTATCATTTACAATATTTTGGTTAATCTTATTAGTTGATTTGTTATTGATTATCAGTATTGTTGAATTTTTGAACTTGTTCCATTTAAGTAATATTCCATTTAAACCTGAAGATGATCTATTGAATAGATCGAAAGCGTTTGTTTATTAAAAATAATTTCTCAGCGAATATTAAGGTGTTGGTTAAGTTTTTATTTAATAATGTCTTTATATTTCACAATTGTCGTCGTTCTCAAAACACGGTATGCAATAGTTCTCGAACACGCATGCCACCTTCATGTTCAGTTTTATTGTGATTCTAGTCATTGCTTAGTTTTCTGTTTCTTTTCATTTGCTTTTTTGCAATTCATAATTAATAAAAATAATAAAATTTTACTCACAAATTAANAATTAGT